GGACAGACGGGGATTTGGTGGCTCCAAACATCCACCTCCAGCCGGGCCCCCGCGCCGGGGCTCCCCAAAACCCCTCGCCCTTCCCCAGCCGCCCCCCGGCAGCGCTGTGGGTGCAGCCACCCTTGGTTCTAACCAGCTGGGGTCCCCTTTCAGCTATTTTTTAGCCGGGAGAAATTTCCTTCTCCGGCAGCGGAAAAGCAACCCCGTTCACGCTCCCGAGCTGGGGAATTTCAGGGATAATCAAATCCCCGAGGCTCCCGGGGCAGCATCCTTCCTCCCGGGATGTCACGGCTCTGAGGTGGCCTTTTCATCCTCCCCCGAGGCTCGGGATGGTGTTGGGGCACACGGGGAGTCTCCAGTGTCTAATACTGCGGCTGAGCTCACGGCACGGCCCTGAGGGGGAGGGTGATGATAATAATAAGGGACTTTTGGGGAGAAAGAAACCCAAAAAAGGCAAAACAACCTAATTGAAAATCACCTCCTTTTTTCTTAGGATCAATTTCCTCCTCCATGTTAATGAAGTCGCCCTCCCAATTAATTCTCCGTTTGCCCACCGGAGGCCCCGGGGTGGAAACTCATTAATTTCTCACCTCCCAAACCCTGGCAGGAATAATATGGCAGATTTCTGGGCTTTTCCTCACAATCCCCCTCCCCCGCCCCAGGAGATCTCGGCGGCAGCGGGGACCTGTGGGAGGACCCTTCCCCGCGGAGGGGGACACGCAGCCCCCCCGGCCCCCCCGCTGCCTCACCCCTGGGGACGGAGGGTGCAAACAGGGGGGCCACAGGGGAAATGTGAGAATTAAACAGCAGCTTAATGGCATTTGAAGTCCTGATTGGTTTTTTGCTCATTAGGGATCATCAGCAGAGCGGTTTCAGTGTTTCCCCTGAGCCCGACTGGACACCCCCATCCCGCTCAACCGCCCCACCCTCTTCCTCACGGGATGAAGGCTGGGACCTTACTCCGGGACAGTCCATGCCATCACCCACCGCTCTGTCCCGCAGCCCCTTTGCTTCAATTTCCTCCCTTATTTTGGGGCCAAGAAGCTCTGAATTAGTTTCCTTGGATCTCAGTCCATCGCTGTGCACTGTGACGATGGGATGGAAGCAGCAGCATCCCCAAACCCCTGGGATTTCAGCTTAAAATCCCAGCCACAGCTGGGTGATTTACACATTTCCCGCACCACTGGGATGTTGCAAATGTTCCTTTTCATAATTCCTCCCTTATTTTATTCTCCTTTTATTGTACCAGGGGCTGGGGCCAGCAGGTCAATGCCACCTCTCCTTCTCTCCCTTCACCCCTCCCATGGTGGCTACATCTTCCTGGCACTCACGGGCGGTACCCTCATTAGCTGATCCCGCTAACGAGGCAGGAGAAGCGCAATCCAGGCCTGGTGGTTTTGCATCTTATTTGCAGCTTTGTGAGGATCTTACTCTCAGGAGTGTTTGCTCCCGGGTTCGCATCCCAACATCATCGTCTTTATTTCTCTCAGGAAGATGGGGGGGAGGGAAATTAAAAGGGATAAAGCCCCGCTGGCACAGAGGTGGGGCTGGGTTATCTTTAATTTAATCTTCTTGTCCCCGTTTATTACTGAGCCTTCTTCCTCAGCCTCCCCAAGCAGGGCTGAGGTGCCTTCCTCACTCCCCGCCATCCCCCTGCCCAGCAGAGACTCCTCTGGGGGGTCTTGTCCCCACCCAGAGTGTGTCCTGCCAATTCCATTTCTCCGGGCAAGTCTAGGCTCTGCCACGTCCCCCACCTGAAATTCCCAATTGTCCCTGGGGAAGAGAGAGGGAACGTGGCAGGGATGGGATGGAGATGGATGATGATGAGGATGGAGATGGGGATGAGGATGGGGATGGAGATGGGATGGACGAAGATAAGGATGGAGGTGGAATGGGGATGGGGACAGGGTTGGAGACGGGATGGGGATGAGGATGGGGATGGGATAGGGATGGAGATGAGGATGGGATGACGGGGATGAGGATGGGGATGGAGATGGGATGGACGAAGATAAGGATGGAGGTGGAATGGGGATGGGGACAGGGTTGGAGATGGGATGGGGACGAGGATGGGGATGGGATAGGGATGGGGTTGAAAATGGGATGGGGATGGAGATGGGGATAGGGATGGAGATGAGGGCGGGATGTGACGATGGGGATGGACGAGGATAAGGATGGAGGTGGAATGGGGATGGGGACAGGGATGGGGACGAGGATGGGGATGGGGTTGAAGATGGGATGGGATGGGGATGGAGATGGGGATAGGGATGGGGATGAGGATGGGGATGAAGATGAGGATGGAGATAGAGATGGGATGGGGATTGGATGAGGATGGGGATGGGGATGAGGATGGGGATCCCTCACAGGGGTGGGGACCAGAAGGGATGGAGATGGGGATAGGGATGGAGATGAGGATGGGGATGAAGATGAGGATGGAGATGGGATGGGGATCCCTCACAGGGGTGGGGAGCAGAAGGGATGGGGATAGGATGGGATGGAAAAGGATGTGGATGGCATGGGAATGGGGATGGGATAGGGATGGGGACCCCTCACAGGGATAGGAAAGCTCTCAGGGATGAGGAAACCATCCAGAGATGGGGCTGGGATGGTGCAAACCTGGGCTGGGTGCCCCCAAATTCCCCAGGACAATCCCATGGGGCAGCGTGAGGACGTTGGGGTGGGGGCAGCGCCACAGTGTCCTCCAGGAGACAACATTGCTCACAGGGAAGGGGACGGGAGTGGCCCAGGGTGGCCGCCGTGTCATTTTAAAGTCACCCGCTGGCACCGAGCCCTCGGAGACGCCGGAGGCATCAATCTCCCGGGGCCCTTGCTGTCAGCTGGGTATTTAGTGAAATGTTTCTTAAATGAACGCTTGATGGAAGAAGAGGGATGGCTGCCCCGTACCCAGCCCCAAGGTTATCCCTGCCGCCGCGCCGGCTGCCAGCTCCCAGCGCCCGCCGGGAACCCCGGGGAGGGCACCGCCATAACCCACCGGGGGGAATTTGGGAACCACTGCCTGGCACAGCCCTGGCCCTTCCCACACTGGGAATATTTCGGAGCAAATCACAGCTGGCACTGGGGGAAACGCCGGGCAAAGCTCCGGGCACCTGGTGCAGGAGGGGAGGGAAAGGAGAACCAGAAAGGTTTTTAGAGCCCCATTTCGTTTGGGAGCCCTGTTTAATTTGGGTTCTCAAGGGGGAAAATAGCCCCTCCGGGGGAGGAGGTGAGACTTCTGCTTTCATAAAGTTTTCTTCATGAAAAACTGGGAAAAAATGAAATGAGGCTGTTGTTAGCAGCCCTCCGAGTGGATGCAGCCCGGGATGCTAAGGGTGGCAGTGATGCCACTTCCCGAGAGACCGAGTGGGGAGACAGCTCCCAGAAACCTCAGTCAAGGACTTTCTTAAACTACTCATTAACGGCATAAAAAAAAGAGCCATGGGAAGTGCAGCCTCCCAGGAAAGAGTGTGGTAGCACAGGGTGGGATTGGGGGTTTTGGAAGCAGCACGTGAGAGGGGAGCAAATGGTTCTGGCAGAGCTGTGCTCAGCCCCAGAGCCACCACGGGAGGGGGAAGCCACCCTTGACCCCCCCCCCTCCAGGCCGTGCCCTCAGTGACAGCGGCAGGAAGCCCCCCTCCAGGCCGTGCCCTCAGTGACAGCAGCAGGAAGAGGAATAAATCATAGACTCATAGAATCGTCTAGGTTGGAAAAGACCCTTGGGATCATCGAGTCCAACCATCTCCCCTACTCTACAAAGTCCTCCCCTACACCATGTCCCTCAGCACTGCATCTAAACGGCCCTTAAACACAGCCAGGGATGGGGACTCCACCCCCTCCCTGGGCAGCCTGTTCCAATGCCCGACCACTCTTTGGGTGAAAAATTCCTTCCTAATGTTCAGTCTAAACCTGCCCTGTTGGAGCTTGAAGCCGTTCCCTCTCGTTCTATTGTTAATTACCTGTGAGAAGAGACCAGCACCAACCTCTCTACAGTGTCCTTTCAAGTAGTTGTAGAGAGTGATGAGGTCTCCCCTCAGCCTCCTACTTCCTCATACTAAACAGTCCCAAATGCACCAAACCCCACGTTACAGTGCCTGTGTGTCCGTGACACGGCTGTGTGCTGGCACCGGGCAGGTCACCGAGTGGCTTTTCTTCTCTCCAGCCAACGCTGAAGTCAGATCCCCACATGAAACCCTTGGCCGAGCAGGAAGACTGTTGAGAAATGGCTTCCACACCTCCCTCGTGGTGTCCCCGCAGCCCTTTCCCCTCCGTACACACCCCCCAAGGAATCGCCCTGCAATGAGCTGTGCCTTCAGGACATGGCTGTGCCAGGCCGGGCTCTGCCCCCATCCCGCCGTTGGCACACAGGTGATGCTCACCAGGAGACACGGGCAACCAGCCCTGCCACGCTGGCACAGTGGCCTCAGGTGCAGTGACATCCAGAATCACAGAGTCTTCATGGTTGGAAGGGACCTTTGAGATCATCCGAGTCCAACCACACAAAAAAAACCCCAACAAACCAACCAACAACAAAAAAGCAACCAACCAAACAAAAAAACACCCACACCACACCCACCCACAGACACAACCCAACAATCCCAGACATTAGAGCATGCCCTGAAGTGCCACATCTACACGTTTCTTAAATCCCTCCAGGGATGGTGACTCCACCACCTCCCTGGGCAGGCTGTTCCAGTGCCTGACCACTCTCTCAGGAAAGGAATTCTCCCCAATATCTAATCTAAACCTCCCCTGCCCCAACTTCAGACCATTTCCTCTGCTCCTGTCATGATTCCCTTGGGAGAAGAGGCCAACCCCCACCTCTCTACAGTTCCATCTCTCCAGGATGCTGTGAGCTGCTGCCCCGGGGTGGCCTGGCACAATGATGGGTGGTGGGACCACCAGCACCAGGGGCTGGTGGTACCCAGTGCCAGGACCTGCTGGTACCCGGTGCCGTGATGCCAGGACCCAGCAGTACCCAGTGCCAGGATGCCCCGGCCAGGCGGTACCCAGCACCACGATGCCCAGCAGGACCATGAAGATGCCCAGTGTCCCCACAGCAGGTGATACCGTGTCCAGGCAGGGAGGTGATGGAAGCAGGATCCCAGTGATCCTGTTCTGCATCTGGCCCTGGGGGTCCCCGAGCAGCGATGGCAGCAGCTGCCTGGGGAGACTGGGAGGGATGATGCTGCCCGAGGTGATTACTAGGGAGGGAAAATTAATGGGGAGGGTGAAGGGGTGGGATCCTGGCTGGTGGGACCTTGGCCAAGGTGGCATCTCCTTCCCCCGGGCTGTCTCCCTGCCAGGGCCATGTGCTGGTCGGCAGCACCAGCTCACTCTCCTCCATTCCTGGAGAAATATCATCCCTTGTGCCCTCAGGGCAGCAACTCCCAGGCTCTGCTGGGCAACGGCTGGTCCTGAGCATGTTGTATGGTCCTACAACAAACTGTAGGGTCCTGTACCCCACCGCACGCTCCTGTACCCCACTGTGGGTTTGCACACCCTGCTGCATGGTCCTGCAGCCCACCACAGGGTCCTGCACCCCACCACAAGGTCAGGCATCCCATGGCATGATCCTGCACCCCACCACGTGGTCTTGCAACCTATTCTATGATCCTGCACCCCACTGCATGGTCCTGCATCCCACCACGTGGTCCCACACCCCACGGTACAGTCCTGCACCCCACCACAAGGTTCTATGGTCCTGCACCCCACTGCATGGTCCTGTACCCCACCATGCTGTCCCACACCCCATGGCATGGTCCTGCAACCCACCACAAGGTCCTGCACCCCACCACATGGCCTTGCACCCCATGGCATGATCCTGCACCCCACCACGTGGTCTTGCAACCTATTCTATGATCCTGCACCCCACTGCATGGTCCTGCATCCCACCACATGGTCCCACACCCTATGGTACCATCCTGCACCCCACCACAAGGTCCTGCACCCCACCACATGGCCTTGCACCCCATGGCATGGTCCTGCACCCCATCACACCTTGCCCAGCCTCCTCCTGCTCAGCTCGAGCAGCCTCCAGCGATTCATCCTCCGCTCGCAGGGAAGCTGTGGTGGCTGGAGCAGCTCCATGTGCTTTTTATCTTATAGCATCCATACATCATCCCCTCCCCGGCGCTCTGCCTCGGCGGCTGAGGGGGCACCGCTGGTACCAGCCAGAGGTTTCGGCTCTGGAGTTGTGGCTTCCCTGCTGGCAAATCTCCCTCTTAGCCCGTTAAGCCCTTAATTAAGCCGACAGGACGCATGTCGGGCTTTTAATTACAGCTTTGCAGCAGCTGCACTGGAGGAAGTGTCGGGGCAGAGGGAGATGCACTGAGCTGGCCAGGTCTCTGCCCGGCTGTCTCTCCCCTCCCCTCTCCTCTCCCTCCTCAGTTCATTTTTTTTCCCCTTTTTTCTCCCTGGAGGACAAAGGGCCGGGAAGAGGAAAGGGTGGAGGGACACAGACGGCAGCGCTGTGCCCGCCATCAGCCCGCGCCGGCGGGGATGGATGAGGATGGACGAGGATGGATGAGGATGGACGAGGATGGATGAGGCTGGATGAGGATGGACGAGGATGGATGAGGATGGCAGGGACGGTGCAGGGCTGGCAGCTGCCGGCAAAGGGAGGAATAAGGTCCCCATGTCCCCAAGATGTTGTCCCCGAAGAGCAGGACCTCAGCCAGCCTTGCCCCTGGGGAGGAGTTTTATGTCGCCATCCTTCAACCCAGACCCGAACCACGCTGTGGGCTGAGCACCCATGGGTGTCCCGAGCTCACCAGGGTGTCCAAGACCAGGGATGGGGTGTCCATGGGCTGCTCCCCTAATTCACCTGCTGCTGGTGACCCCACAGAGCCACCTGCAGCCCTGGGGTGCCCAGTCCCCTCAACTCCAGCCGGTGCCCATGGTGGCCCATGGCCAGTTGCCCGCTGTGCCGTGCCGTGCCAGCCCGCATCCATTAAGCAGTGAGTCAGAGCCATCCTGGTGCTGACTAATGCCCATGTGCCGGCTCCGAGCACCCGTCCTGTGTGCCAGGGCACTTGCTGAACCCCGACATCTCTGGGGCACAGGATGCCCTTCCCTTGTGCAGACACACTTCCCCTGTGGAAATCAAAGAATCCTAGGCTCATAGAATGGTTTGGGGTGGAAGGGACCTTAAAGCCCCCCCAGTGCCACCCCCTGCCTTGGGCAGGGACACCTCCCACCACACCAGGTTGATCCAAGCCCCCACCAACCTGCCCTTGAACCCCTCCAGGGATGGGGCAGCCACAGCTTCTCGGGCCAACCTGGGCCAGGCTCTCACCACCCTCACACCAAACAAGTTCTTCCCCACAGCTCAGCTCCATCTCCCCTCTTGCAGGGTCAAACCCTTCCCCCTCCTCCTAGGGCTCCCCTCCCTCATCCAGAGTCCCTCCCCATCTCTCCTGGAGCCCCTTGAGGGACTGGAAGGGGCTCCAAGGTCTCCCCGGAGCCTTCTCTTCTCCAGGCTGAACCCCCCCAACTCTCTCAGCCCCCCCTCCCAGCAGAGGGGCTCCAGCCCTCCCAGCATCTCCGGGGCCTCCTCTGGCCCCGCTCCAACAGCTCCATGTCCTTCTGCTGGTGGTGGCCCCAGAGCTGGAGGCAGCACTGGGGGGTGTCTCCCCAGAGCGGAGCAGAGGGGCAGAATCCCCCCCTGGCCCTGCTGCCCACGCTGCTGGGGATGCAGCCCAGGGGTGGGGGGTTTCTGGGCTCCAGCGCACGTTGAGGGGCGTGTGGAGCTTCTCACCCACCAGCACCCCAAGTCCTTCTCCTCAGGGCTGCTCTCTGGCCCTTCTCTGCCCAGCCTGGCTTTGGGCTTGGCGTTGCCCCCACCCACCTGCAGGACCTTGCGGTTGGCCTGGTTGAAATTCCCTTGTGAACCCCCCCACCCTCCTTCTATGCAAAGTGTCCCTCGTGCAAATGTAAATCCCTTGTGCAAAGGCACATCCTACATGCCCACACGCTTCCCACAAGAGTCCCCCACTCCTCCTCACCCACCCAAGGCACCCAGTGTCAGGGAGCACCCCAGGAT